ACAAATACAAACAAACAGAGATATCCAGACAAACACTAACAAATAAACATACAAACACACACACAGACAGACGCACAGACAGCAGACAGACACACACACAGACAGACAGACACAAATAAACAGACGAGTAGACAGACAGGGCCCGAAAGACAGACAGAAACAGATAGAGACAGATAGACGGAGACAAGCAAACAGAGATTAACAAAGACAGACACAGACGACAACAGACAAAGAGACGGACAGACCGTGCTTTTCGAACGGCCGTAAAATCGATCCTCAAAGTCTGACTTAAGACATGCTCTCACTACTAAAATTTCGGAAATTTTATTACCGTGCATGCCTACCGAAAATTTTACTACCGGCAGCGTGTCCCATTCGAGCTACCACAATTTCCGAAATTTTAAAATCGCGAGATTTCCTAAAGCTACCAAAATTTTAGTCTCGGGCAAAATTGCTCCCGATACTAAAATTTCCGAAATTTTAGTACCGCGAGAAAAACAGACAAGAGACTTTCAAAAAGACACGCGCCAAAATACGAAGTTCCGGGATCAAAAACGCGCTCCAAAAAAACGGAGGCGACCAATACGACACCATTTTATTAGAGAATTCATAGATAAATAATTTCAAACAGACGATCGTTATAAATAATTGCTAATAAATAATAAATTCCTTCCAATCTTTCATCTAATTCATTTTATAAAAGTAAAATTAAATAGAAAATAATATAAATATCATCGAAAATCTTTTATTACTTATTCAAAAAATCATAATATAAGCAGAATCTAAAATATAATCATCGAATTCGAAATATTCTATTAATTTAATTTTCTTCCTCTTTTTTCTTTATAAATTTCAACAATAAAAATCTTTTAGCGAATTTTTTCTAGCCGAAAATAATCTTCGATTACAAGTATTTGTCAAACAAATATTTTTTAATACTATACAATCAATCAAATAATAATCTAAGCTTTTTTTATCCTTAATCTTATCACCAATATAGAGAAGGTTTTTTTTTTATTTTCTCACCTCACCTACCATAATAATCTCAATGCTCGATAAATATAAAGAAATATCGTAACTATAAATCAATTGAAAGAATATAGTACAAAAAGCAGACAATATAAACTCTTATAAACTAGAGAACAACACAAATTAAGCTCTTCTTTAAATTCCATTTTAAAATAAGATCAACTTTGAGTTTTCTATGAAATAGAACTATATTATAAATGGTTTTCATCTTAAAGATTAAAATTCATACAAACCATGAAAGTTAAAAAATCAAAGAATATTCAGTGTTTGTTTTTCCATGGCCATCGATCGATCTGCTTGGGCCCATCATTTTCAATAATAAGATAGGAACCATCTATCAGAACTTGATTGGGCCTGCAACACATTCAACGACATAAAACAACAATTTAATCTCAATTAGGTCTCACTCTACTGCGCACTTCCTCAACAAAGTGCATAAACAGACTCACCGAAGTCATATCAAGCAGCAATCCTTGTAATCTTGTCTTCATGTACAAGGAAATCACTGAAGCAGTCACCAATCAAATCACATATGCTAACAACAACAAGTAATGTTTTAACGAAGCGCGCAAACCGTGAGCACGAGCAAGAACTGCTGCAGACAGTGATCCCGAATTGCAATATTTTGCACTTGCAACGCCCTTACTCATGCACGGGCCGCAGACTTGGTGGATGCATGGGAACTTTAGCTGCTTTCTTGTCATTGCCGGCTGTAACGATACCAACCTATTTACGACACAAATTGAGTCTTTTCGTGACAATGCCATCTCCTGCTTAGCTGGAATTGCACGGCTCACCGTTCTCACCGAGGCACGCCAAAACTTATGAAACACCTGCTGATACTTTTGCACAGCGGATGCAACTTTGCATCGGTGTTTCCAAGCCAGCATGTCATTTTGCCGTGTAGAACAGAAACCAGTAGTGGTCTTATTGTTTTCTCCTTGTCACTTTGCCGCGAGCACCTTCGATGTCGAGGCACGCTTGCCAGCATCTGTCCATCCCCACATCCACGTTCTGTATGGGGCAGTTGGTGGTGCTGATGCATGTGTCGTAAGCCTGGAAATGCACTGTCACTTGAGTCCCGTCTGCCATCGAGAGGTGGTATTCCTTCATAGTGACAAAAGCTCACGGCATACTCAGACAGGCCGTCGTCATCTTGTTGACCTTCACATGGGGGTTGTTCCTTATTATGGTTGCAGCCCGTAACTCGAAAATCGCCTTGCGCTTCGCCCTTGCGCGCTCTTGCGCATACAGGGGATAAACACATTCCCACCTTGTAGCCTTGATAGACCAGGCGGAAAACAGCAAGTCCAGAATCCGGCTTGAAGATTTCGTGCAGGGAACTTGGGTGGGTTTTCAAACAACTGTCACGCAAGAGGAATGGGGCATTCATTGGTCGAAGTTGGAGGGTTCCCCTTGAGCCGCCCCTGCGCGCTGAACCCTGTGTAAAACTGATTTTGACTTTTTAATACAGGTAGTAGTACTGGTAATGATACTAGGACTCCTGCTAGTAGTAGTGATACCAGTAGTAGGTAGTACTTCCCCTTGCACTGAATTTGCGCTCGCCCTTGCGTGCGCTTGCGCGGCGTCGTGTTTTTACATGTTTTTACTAGGTCCCAAACCTGAATCCAAACATTAAAGTGCACTGTTAGTCTACGGTAAAGAGCCGGGGGTTTAGAACAACTCTCATATACCTTCATCATACCCCCGTTTCCGAGAAGAAAGCCAACCGGGAACTCATTCGGGTCCTGAGGCACTTCGGCCCACCTTGTTGCAAACATCGACATGTAGTGTTGATGTCCATAGAGCCAAATATCAAGCGTCTTGAAGAGATCTGGGCAAGCACCGACATCTAGGCTTGCAAGCAAGGATATCAAAATCGTTTCTCCCAAATTTGAACCATAGGCGATCGCGTCGCGGAAAAACTCGCACTCCGCCAATTCTCCTTCACTAGGTTTGTCCCCTCATGGTCCCATGAAAAAGATGCGTTCCGGCATAGCTTCAGGGGGTTGCCTCTTTTTGAGGGCCGGTGAACAGTGTGGTTTGGGTGCCAGCCACAAGCCCAACAGTGTTGTGGACGCTGCTGTCTTTGCTGAAGTCTACATTGTACCGCCATGGTGCTCTCCATTTTAGACGTTGTTCACCGCTCGCTGGGATCACCACGTCATCGCCTCTGAGATCCCGGAAAAAACGGGCTCATGGAGGCCAGGTGCCGCATGACACTTGCCCAAAGACCCGTAGTCTCCAAAGTATCAAGTTCCGCCTGTGCAACCTGAGGGGGAATTGAGGTCATGATTGCCGATTGCAGGGAAGATTCGATGAGTCATGATGGTTTGGTTGCTGTATTCCGCCACAGCGTCGACCAGAAGAAGCCTCCCAAGTAACCATTGTCCCCGAAAGAAAAGTTCATTTGGAGCGCCATGATTAGAGATGTAGTCTCGCAGCCAATCATGGAGGCTGAAGGCTCCTGGTTTTCTGATGCTTTCTTCAAGCGGGAATCTCGTCACAATCATGTCCTCATAAATCTTTGGAAGCCTAAAATCGGCCTAGTACATCACTTCTCTTACGAGGGTCCCATGAGGATCTGGGGGACGCGTGGGAGCGTCGAACTTTTTGCAAATTTCTGGATTCGCAGTCCACTTTTGGGCCAACCGTGAATGACCTGGCCAAGCTTCCTAAAACAAGGCTTCTCGAAAGGCATCATGTGAACTGGACACCAAGTCTCATGTTTGACAGCTGGCTGTTAAAGCGCCCTCAAGCAAATCTCTTCGCCATGACATTTCACTTTGGCCGGTATTATTCGATTGGTCGAGCATACGAACGGTCGCCAGCGGCTGCGATCTGCAGTCAATTCTCACGCGCATCAATTTGAGTGTTGATGAGCCTGCAACAAAAATGGAGACTCTTGATTACACTCGATGCACTCACTTTCACCTGAGACACCACCAAACAACCCAAATTCAGAAAGCACCTCGGGAATACCCGGCTCTCAGCCGGCCTTCTGAATCTAAAGAAAAACAATCCAAAACACATGCTGAGTATGCAAAGGTAAGCGTTGTTTGAAAACAGTGCCGGAGGATTGACCAACGCACAATATGTGCAGCGACACAAGTGTGACATAACCATTTCTGCAAAGTTCGGTAGAATCGAAACATGTGCTGCTAAGATCTTTCTCATCAGTTGCACGATGAACTGTCCATGACGATGCTCGCCGTTGGGCATATGCACACCCGACCCACTTTCTGCGATGGACCGCCTGCGACCACGCCATGATTGAATGGCTATGTCAGGCTCCCGCTTTCGGGCGCCTTGGAACAATGCTTCTCGATTCACTTCTGCTTTTTGGTTTCCTTTGGTGAAGGCTTCTCCTGCTGCCAGTGTCGGGGTGCTCCGCCATCATTTGCCCTAAACTATTTCGGCCTTCTTCGCATCGGTCTCCAGCTCAGGTTTGCGCGCTCGCCATTTTCTGCATCGGATGGGTGCCAGGGGCTTACAATGAGACTTGAGAAAAGCATCGTTGCGATTCTCAAACTTCGGGTCTCCTCCACAACCAGTCAACGACGTAGTAGAGCGGCAACTCAGCCAATGCATGGGACGTGTCCAGGATAGGCTGCCATTGCACGCTTCTAACATTTTCTAATGTATCCAACGAGATCTGGGAAGCCAATAGCATCAATCAGAAAGCCGAGCACGCCTGTGCAGACACGGTTTTACCCACACAAAGCCAAAGTCACAGACACAGGCCGGGCAGGAGGCAACTCACAAGAACGACAACTCGTCGTTTCAGAGGCTGTTGTGTGCACGTCCAGGTGACTAAATCAAAACAACCAGAAAGAAGAGCGTCTGATCCCTACAGTCACACCCTCTTATTGCAAACCCATGCCGCTGAATTTGAAAGCTCAGCGCTCTCTTGCAAACGAGCAGAGAAAAGCCCTTCCTTTTGAGAAGTATTCCGTTCGAGACTGTTGCTGCTAATTCCGCAAATTTCGATGCAAATCGACTGAGATCAAGGCTGGGAGTGCAAACACCAGGAAGAACCTCGGGCGCTTCCAGGCAGTGCAGAGACTGAGCCGCTCCAATCAGCTCAATGGCACTGGGAACCGAACAGAGGTGGACCGCGCTTGGTCCAGTGGCTATTTTTGACAGCGATGTCGGCCTGACATCCAAACTTGGAACAAGTCAGAATCGATTGCCGCGTGGGGGAACACCGAAAGATTTGGCCGAAAGATCTACCTTGTAGTTAACGATAAACTATCACAAGTCTTCTAGAAGCCTGACCTTGACAAACGGCCGCTGTCATCCTTTGTTTTCCCGACCTGCGCCCTGAACAGGTCCCAGAGCTTGTCAGACTGCTCCCGCACCTGCAACTGGCCAGTTCACATACTGGTAGCTCACGAAATATCTGCGACGCCAAGCTATGCATCCCAGGCCACGAATCTGAACTGCAACACCACACACCTGCCTGGGCTGCGGCGTCTTCGCCTGACGCCACCATCAGTCATCATTACCACCGGAAGGTGGCATTGTCTAGATGCTCTGAACAACGCATGCCAAAAGCGCTGTCAGCGAAGTCCGCCCATTCCTCGAACAGCACAGCAAAAAGTACTTTCTGTCTTCGCTGCTTTTTTGCCTTCTTGGAGGCAGGCTCTTGGCATCTTCGGAGGCCTTTTGCCTGCTCCGTCAGAGCAGTGCATTGCAGTGCCCTCTCTGGCTGTGAAGTCGGGGCCGGAGTCCAGCCAGGCCTCTCTTCATGGCTGCCATGACTTGCTTCAAGAGATCGAGCGCAAGTGCAGACGTCTCACCTGGACGGAATCGACAGCAAAACCACTAGGTTTAGGGCCTTAGGGAAGTGGGACCTCGTTTCCTGCCGCTCTTCTTTTTCTTCTACGGCCAATCGGTCTTAACTGCGGGTGTTGAATCTGAATCTATTCCAAAGTGCTGCCTTTTTACGGGGCATTCCAGCTTTCGTGACTTTTCCCTCCATTGTAACCTTGTCGGGCTTTCTGCTCCCTTTGGTGGTCCACGCAGCTAGTCCCCGATCTCGAGCCGTACCGACGCTTCAGACATTTTGACGATCTGCGGCTTTGGTTGCAGGACGTTGTCAGACTAAGCGCAGCAGCACTGAAGCGGCTAGAGGTTTGGGACTTCGGCCGAGTCGCCTCCTTCTGCTCGCTTGTGAACGCACACGTTGACCATGCGAAAGAGCTTTATCTCTGCAGCCTGCGGCTCATGCAACTGCATGTCTTGCAACTGACTTGCCGTTGCCTGGAGTACGGCAGCCAATTGTACCGTATGTCTGTCGAGCTCGCAAGGCATCAACAAACTCGTCTCGAAGCGCGTGAACCCAGCAAGAAGCTGCCCTGCAAAAGGTGCTCGTATGCAGCAAGCCGCACCTCTTCAGGCGGCAAATCGTTGGCCACAAGACGCCTTTGGTGCAAGGCCGGGTTGGTTGAGCAGCCGAAGGGGATCAGGCTCCGAACGCTTCGAGGTGAGGACGACGGCGGTTTCGAAGGCTTCAAAGGTGAACCAGTGTCAGCGCTTTGATTGCTTCAGCTCGATGCTATAACATTCAGTCCGTGATGGCGTGCGGGACACAGCTAGGTTTGGCGGACCTGAGGAGCTGTGGTTGGGTGCAAGGTTGTCGTCCATCGTAGACCGAATTCGAGTCCAGCATCCACGGAAGGAATCGAAAGAATCCTCGAGACTCGAGATCTGCCGCATCCTCTAGCTCAGGGTCACTGATTCTCATCCTGAGGAAAGTGCCCGCTACCATTGCACTATGGCACTATGGCAGGCACGGCTTAAGGACCCCCCCCAAGCCCATGGTTTGGTGACCGTCATATCTCTGCTCGCTGGTCGAGGCAAAGCTCCTGACTCGAGGCTGTCCATGATCTCTCTGGTGCCGCCGAGGAATTCTGATGCCAGGGCAAAGCCTCGGAAGGCTAGACTGCTAGACCTCTGCTGGACATTTGGAACGGAAGTCGCCCAAGCGGAACGAGCATCGGGCAAGTGGCCGTCCAGGCTGCATCGGCCTGAAATTTCGGCCGCCGCTGGAATCTCAGGCTATGGGATTGCTCGGTGGAAGAGAGCAAAGAGCCGGAGGTGCGGCATCAAGCTCTTCGCGAGACCTGGCTCGATCGTCACTTCCAAGACTCAGGCTCACGGTGGAGGTAGCACTGCCTGTGCAGCTGCTGCTTTGCCTGATCCAAGTCCAGCTTTCCTTGCTTCAGCTCCTGTGCCGGCACTGCAGTGCCCTGCAGGACGCAAAAGGCCAGCAAAACTAACACCTCCAGCTGCTGCTCAATATCTTTCAAGCTGTTTCGAAGCTCTGGATCTTCCTGATGCCAGGATGCGCGAGACACCCGGTGAGCACGCAACCACGTAAACGGCACCGGAAGTTGTGCAGGGTCCACCTCTTCGGATTTATCGAGCGAAGCCTGGCAGCCGGTGTTTGCCAGACTTAATCAAATCTTCCGACACCGCTGGCAAATGCCTTGAGTTCGTCGAATCGATCTTGCAGCTCTTGCGTGATCACGCCTTTACAGGGTCACTCGCACCGGTCCTACCTTGAACTTAATTTCCCAACCACAGTCATGGAATCCGATATTAGCCTTCGCTTCGATTGCTCTGGGCTGCCACTTGTAGCCAACCTGGGGGACGCAACTAAGCCACAAAGCCAACGACTTCAGACTTTGCAAAGGTTCGCCGGTAATCAAGCGAAGCGAAGCGAAGCGTGGAGGGAAATGGAGGCTTGCGAGTGGTAAGGCCTGTGCAGGATGTTAACCTCACTTCTCAGCGCCCGTGCCATGCTTGTGCCATAGAGGTGTGAACATGGATGCACAATTCTGCAGCTCAGATTCTGACAGCCATGTGCCCAGCATGGGACTGGTGCACCATGTCAAAAAACCCATGCCCGAGCACAGGCACACAAGTCAGCGGTAGTCTGCTTTGTGAGGATATGCCTGCTTCCTTTGCCAACACGGAGTGTAGTCTCACAGTGTCCAAGACTCAATACTGCAGTGCGGACATTACAAGCTTCACATTATGTTTTATCACATGAGCAGCCCTCATGTTCGAGCATGCACGCCTGTCGATACAATCACAGTGCACGGAGCTTGCACAGACTTCTAACAGAAGTCCCTCATGTAGCATTGGATAAGTGTGAGACTCGAGCCACTTTTTTTACGACCAAGCCACAGAAGACACCTGCAGCAGGATGCTTCCGGCCGATTTTGAAGCGACTTCTGCCTGAGATATTCTAAGATAAGGCCGGCGCCACAGAGTTTGAGATATCAAACTGTGACTTGCAGAAGGATTTTACCTGCCGCACTTTGCAGTATTCTTGGCAACAGATTTGGCTTGCCTGACGATGCAACATGCAGGCTTCGGAACATGCTGTAGAATCCAGGACTGCCGCGGCCCAGAAGTTCAAGCACAAGAGACAAGTCTTTACCCTCTGCTGTCACCAATGGTTGCTGTTGCATGCCCCTGGTGCAGGCTTACTCTGGTCATTGTGTGGGCCTTCTGAGGCATGAGGCCGTAGTCCAACTCGAAGCGATATCTGTACGCCTCACAAGTGGTCCGTGGGGAGTCTCTTATGGCCTTGTCCTTGACGGGAGTATTCCAACGCTGAGCGAGCGGACCCGGATTAGCTGCTGGACATGGCATCTCCTGATGCAGGCCATGAGTTGACCTAGACATGGTTCCAAAGCAAACGTTGCAGCAAGCTAGGTGTGGCGCTGAGTGGGCGTGAAGGTGTTGTGGGCATTGAGGTCCTGTTGTCGGGCATGGCGTATGAGAGCAACAACCAAAGCCCAAAATACTTGCCAATGCCGGCTGCATGCAGCTGTCAGGAGTTCAGAAGGTTTGCGAATCAGCGGCGTCAAGTCTTTACTTTACTCTTGTCAAAGGGCCTCCAGCCTTTCGAAGATCCTTCTCATGGCAAAGCGCCCCTCTGGGAAGCCTCGTGCAACAGAAGCGAGCAACAGGGTTTTTTTATGTTCAAACAGCAGGGACCACTTTACGGGTGGCTTGAGAGGACACTTCGAATCCACGCCAGCTTGCTGTGTGTACGCTGGGTATGTATTGTCATGTGTCCCAGCCATATTTATGCTAGCTTGGCTGCTTGCATATGCCCTGGCTCAAGTTGGTCAGCTAGCCCGTTGCACCTTGAGTTGACTCGTCGCTGGGCATATCTGGACACCTGCAATGACAGAACTTGACAAGTCGCATAACGTCGCTGCAATTTTCAGATTTGTCCTGTGACCCGCTTACTGTTACTCTGCCAGCCTTGCCGTCTCCAACACAGTTCACCAACACGTATGCTTAGCTCGCCGCAAGTCTTTCGCGAGGTTCAAGGCATCCAACTCAACGAAGCACCAGGATGCCTGCTGCGATTTCATGCCAAGGCAATTGCAACGTTGACTGGGGGCGAAGTGGCCTGCGTCAATGGATGCACTGGATAAGCATCCAAGTTGCTGAAGAAGCATCGGAACAGCAAAACCTTAGGCTGTGCAGATTCATCCTCTGAACAGTTGGCGGTCCCAGCTGGGTACAGAGTACTGATTTCCAAGCTGAGTTTGCACTTGTTCTTTCGGTTTCATATCAAAAACACTGTAAAAATTCACTTCCAGCATTCAGCATGCGGCTGCAACAGGATTTGCAGCACAAACTGTGTTCGGGCAGAGGGTGCCGCAACGATTTACCATCGTAACCGCCTTGCTTGCGAATGCTTGTGCGGCGTCTGTCCAGCATAACCCTGTGCCTGACTTGGGTGTCTTCCCGGGTATTCGTAAAGAGTGGGGGGGAATTGTCCTAATCACTTCCCCCTTTCATTAAACACCCCCTAACAAAAACACATTGGGGCGAATCTTCCCGAAATCATCCTTGCCCTTTAGAACCTATTCTGCATTAGGGGGAGGAAGGGTTTCGAGGCTCCAAATACCCTTAGAGCACAGCAAGAGCAAGAGCAGGAGTTAGAGCAAGAGCAGGAGCAAGAGCAAAAGCGGGAACACCAGCAAGAGCAAAGCAAAAGCAAGAGCGGGAGTGAGAGCCAGAGCGGAGCAAAAGCGATAGCAACAGCAAGAGCAGGAGCAGGCGCAAGAGACGCAACAGCAGCAGGAGCAAAAGCCAGCGCGGGAGCACGAGCACGACCCCTCCAAAGTGGATAACAATGCCCCCTAATAGTAAAAAACACTTTCCGAGTGTTTATGCGGGGAGGCCCTCCCACCCGTTTAGTATTAGGGGAAACGATTACTGCAAAGAAAACCCCCGAGATTGTCGATACCGAAAACCATCGGAAACCGTGTCTGCATTGGGTGTCTTCGGCATAGCTCTCGCCGACTTTTTTCTGCGGCGCGTCGATCTCTCTACTGCTTGCGAAGCCTCTTGTCAGTTGATGTTTCCCTCGAGAAGCTTTCCGTTATCCTCGTCGATGCACAGGAGTGTGCAGTCTGGCGGTAAAGCCCCAACACAGCGGCTTACCTCAACTGTCCAGCGCAAGGCTGAATCAATATGACACATATGACACACTTGTCATTGTATATAGCCTCTGTGTGCTTTTGTAATTCAGGCCATGCCGCTGTTTCCTCCCATTGTGGCCCGTAATGTGGGAAAACGGCTTGATCTATCAGCACCAGGCCATCCTTATCTTGGATCCATATACTTGGACTTAGACTGATATAGTGTGTGGAATGGAATAAAAGAAACAACTCGACCGAACCTTCCAAGAGTCCAAGCTTTCACTTAGCGACTCACTGGGAACTACAGTGGGGTCATCCCAACCTTTCCAGTATGCTGTGTTGCATGTTCTGCCCGACAGTATGGCCCCAGCAGAGACGCCCACATACCTCAGGGCAACGACAAGAGCCAGGGCAGCGCAAAAAGCTCCGGAAGCGACTCAGACCGACGGGCTCAGGCCAAGGGTCGCAAAGGAGGTCGAATCACGCAGCTCTCGCAGTGCGGTGGAGAGGCCTGCTTGCTTCGCATGAAACCAAAGCCTCGGCTGTCCAGGATTCAGCGCATGTCAACGTCTGAGGCTGCCCCGTCACCTAAGAGCGCGTAAACCAAGAAGCCAGAAAGTGTTGCCACCATCAACGAAAAGAATGCCACGGCCGTCGTTTCCAAGTGCACTCTTCAAAGCATTGCTCAACGGTCTTGCACCTTGCTGAACCGCCAACAGAAAACAAACGCGATATCAATGCACTCGGATGGCATCCGGTCGACTCCGTTACTGTCAGCCTGCATCAACTTGGGAGGCGCCCAGGAGCCCATGAGAGCAACGATGACCGACTGTCAGTGCCGAAAACAGAAGACAAGGATCCGAATCAAGGCCAAGTTGCTGCCATCTGAATGCTTGGCCATGTCCTGCTACGTGCACTAGGGGCGGGACATTCACTGGTGGTTTCTTTCCCTTTGGGTGGAGTCCTCAAGGAAGATGTTGTCCACACTTGATGCACCCAAAGCTTCTCCCAGCATCTTGCTCCGATGTCGCGCTTCGTAACGCCGTTTCTTGCGCTGGTCCTTCAAAGGCCTCTCTGAGTCCTTGCGTGGTGCCGTCCTTGCGGTCCCGATGTAGGCCAACCTGGGGCCTTCACCAACGCCCAGGATCTTCAGAAGCCCCTCCGAGTCTGCCGGATCTAAGCTCGATGCCAGCAGCAGTGGAATGGATGACGAGGCACATTTCCTTCTGGTTGGACAGTCCCTCAATCTTCTAATCGGTGGTGAGTTTGCGAAGCAGCGCGGAAAGGTGTCGTGTACCCCTGGCAGTAACACGACCGACCCGACCAACCTCGGCGCCAATGCCGGGCTTGCAGTTGCGAGGCTGCAGTAAGTCAGTCTTTCTGCGGCCTAGAAGCAGCTGTCCACAAAGCAACAGTGGTCGCCGCAAGGCAGCATCAGGCGACAGCATGCCCGAGGACAGTCTTGCTGCGAGGGTTGCCATGGACAAGTTGAACGTGGTTGTCTTTGCATACTGCGCTGACTGCCCAAGCTTCCATATGTTCAAGTCGACACTTCGATAACTACCATCGACTGTGCGAACCGTATGAGCCTTCAAAAGATCCAAGTGAACTGGTCGCACACGCATGTGCATGATCATGCAGTTGGCGGCAGCTACTAGCATCATTGCTGCGGTTGTCGTCGTTCAATTCCAGAGAGTCAGTAAGGATCCGACCAGCAGCTGCTCGTGACCTCAAATTACTTGTACAAATAGTCAAAGGGTGCTGCATTGCCTCTGCAAGTTCGCATGGCAGCGCTTGGATCGCAAGCTCGCGCAGAGGAAGGCCTATCATCGAAGTCTTCGGAGTTTTCAGGAGAGCATCGTCATTGAGTTCCAGGTTGGAATTGGAAGACGATGTGAACAACATGTCCATCTGCTACGCTTTCATGCCGATTGTTTGGGCTGTCCATGAATTCGTGCGAGTTTGGGCTCCGCGCAGGGATCAATAAGTTGTAAATGACTTAGTCCAGGACCAGAAACTGTTGCCTGTGAACATACCCGGATACAAGAAAAGGCCAAAATTGGTCGCTTCGGAGCTGTCACTGCTTTGCGTTCTCGTTGCCACCGCTTGGTCACTCGCCTCGTCTTCTCCCACTCTCAGCATTTGTCGCCCGCTCTTCTTGGCGGTTTCAGGATTTGCCATGCTTGTACGAAAAGCAGGTCCATCCTTTTCAAAGGCCCGTGTGAGAGCCCCGCCGAAGCTTTAAACTAGGGCACCCTCTGAGTTGCAACATCAGCACTTAAAGGTTGATATGAGGCA